GCTTTTCTTGTAACTACACCTGTGGAGAGTACAAATGCTTTTTCACTTAAAATGAATCTAAAATGTGTATTCCATTAATCCTTGAAAGTTAGATAACCTTGTTTATTTGGCAATGCATTTAAGTCGCTGCAAAGCTAAACAGTGAATGATTTGCTAAAACTTTTCACTCCACTCCAATATATATTTGTGGTTGATAAACTCATAGCCAATCTACGATATAAGCGCAGAAATGCATTTATCTTCGTACAAATCGTATGTGTTTGAGAAAGGTGCGTGTTTACAAGCAATAAATTCTCAATATTTATTACATTTTAGTCGTGGACCACTACTAAGAGAGTACCGTTCGTCCGAGAATACAAATCGTTAAAGTTAAAATTTATTGCAAATAATTCAATGACATCTTAAATATAATACTTAACACAGGTAACAAAGTAATTCTAAAAATAAAATCTTTTTATGCATTCATTTCCTTTCTCTCACACACAAACGCACACACAAATAATACATTACGATATGAAAAACATAAACTAATTGACAGAGAATTTTATGCATATTCCTTATCATCTAGTAAGGCATCAATCAATAACCAATTTCAACGATATAAAAGCTTCTGGGCTAGAAAACCGGGTTGGCCTTTACATTGAATGGTCTTTTTAGTAATTGTTTACGAATTACAGTTATTTCTCATAAAGCGCTTACAATTTATGACAGCTGTTTCTAATGCTGCCTTATATCAATGCATCGATAACTTTAACTCGTTTACAGGTTACGGTGTACATGTGCGCAAGATCAAGGATATCAGCGAATGCCAGCTCGCGGGTAATTTCTTATACCATTTGTTGTGTCATAAATATGTAGGAGAATTAGTTTAACGGCGAAGTTGAATACATTTGGGCTGGCTTTCAGTAACAGTGCATTAATTGCTACAAATTGTTACTCGAAATCCAGTTGTTTGGAAAATCGGTCAATATGAATAAGAACAGAAACTGCTTTTTAATCAAACACTGTGCGAAAATGTATTATACTATTTTAAAGGACTAAATACATACAGATAACTGTACCAAAAAAGTGAAAGTAAAAACAAAAACATTATAATTGAGGGCATGGCTGACTATCAAATATTCCCCACAGTTTCGTCTGAATATTTTCTTCACAAATATCAAAAAATTGTTCCTTGTCGCTTAGGCGTACTTCTCTCCCCTTAGTCCTTTTATTTGATACCCAATTGATTATACTACTAAGAAAGACCAAATGCTGTACCTTGTGCAGTCGACAGTACTGATTTCAGACACGTAACATATTTTCATGTGGGGAATATACAGAGTAATTTTTCACATTCTGTTTTGTTTGTCTTAGGAGTGAAAAAAATCACTAATAACTTTTTTTAGGCTTGGTCTATTATTTCCATCTTCGTACAGGTACTGCATAGAATATATATGCCAATTTTTATCGATGTATCCGATGTGGTTTATAAGTAACGAACAAATTACGAAATTGTTTTTATTTTTGAAAACAAAGCTTGTCTCAAATTGCATTGCTCGCTTACGGGTCTGTCAACGAGCTTTCGAAGCTCAGCGCAATCAATGTAACAATGAATTTGACAATCGTCAGAATTTGCATAGTGGCGTGTGGTTTATGTTTATTTGTACATCGCGTGCCTTTGGGTATTGGGCGGATTGTTTTTGTGTTCTCTTCACAAGCCATTGTAACGTTAAGTTTTTTAATTTTTACGCCGGCAAATGGCGGCGATGTCGGCTTGGCTATTACCCAGGCTCTAGGCATGAACGGTATGGTTCAATGAGGTAAGCGACAATCGACTGAATTGGAAAACACCATAATTGCTGTGGACCGTGTTGTAAAATATGATGCTATTGAACCGGAAGGCGAGCTGGAATCTAAATTGGATAAAAACCATCCGAATGGTGGCCGGAAGAAGGCAAAATCATATTCGATGAATTAAGTTTGCGATACTTTTCTGATCCGAAATCAGAGTATATATTGAAAGGGATAACTTTTGAAATAAAGGCCAATGAGAAAATTGGCTTTGTAGGACGCACCGGAGCTGGCAAAAAATGTTTACAACAGACTTCATACAGATGGCCAGACGGACATGATTAAGCATGTGATGCTAACCAAATATGTGTGCACTTTATGGGGTCCCTAATGCTTCCAGCTTGGGATTGCAAACGTTTTGACAAAATGAATATAATATAATAAATAGGGTGTAAAGATGTGTTTTAAATATCAAGAATGGTCGCAAAAGTCATCCGAGCAAATGCATATTCGTTGTCGCTTAACAAAATGTGTGTGTGAACAAAATTTCGCCAAAATAACGCAGATATTGTGACGTGTAGGTCTATCACAAATGTAATGGACACACAGACATCAAACGATTAACAAAGAACAGTATACGTTATTCACCATTTGTGTGAGACCTTGCGTCAAAATTGTGTGCAGACACCTCTTAACCTTACACCTTTTTCTCACAGCACATTGGTTCTTTGAGGCGTTTTCACAAGTAACTCTTATCGTTCCGCAACCACTCTATTCGCCTGATCTAACTGTAATAGATTTCTGCGTACTCTCTCGATTCTATTAAAAATTGTCCCGGAAAAATCCAGTTAACATTGGAGAAAAAATAATTTAATATTACGTCACTCGAAAGGTCACCTTTGAATAACTTTAATTCAAATATTCATTGTTCAATGTGTGGTTGTTTTGTAACTTTATACCATGTCTTGTAAAGTAATACAAAAAAAAAAAAAAAACATGACAACAATGCTTCATAAATATAATATAATAAATGTCAATAATTAAAATGCAAATGGATGCTCAAGCGAATGAAATAATTTACGCGCTATTGCTTTCATAGACACCATAGCGAATGTAAATTAAAATTAAATTATTATGGAAATCAATTTCAATTAATGCATTTTATCTCGCGCAATCATTAAGTACTCAACATACTCAGACTATAATTTACCAATTAACTGGACGCCCACAAAACTATGTTCTGTAACGTTTATTATTATACGCTACTTGTTGCAATTATTATCGATTTGCATATTTGACGCCAGTTAAGTTGTTGACAATACATTTTTTTTTTTTTTTTTATTTTTTTATTTTTATTTTTTTTTTTTTTTTGCAATCTACTTTGCTTTATTAACGACTTCAAAAGCAATAAATATCAAATTGGAGCGATAATTAATAGCAAAAGAGAATTTTTGTTCGACTTGAATTATATTTTTTATACCTGTCATTAGTTTTTCATAGATTGTGATCGTTATGTACTTGCGCATATTGTATTCGTCATGTAAACGGTACTTAAAATTATCGAAAAACTAAGCATCAGAATATTCGTCTATCGATGTACTACTATAAAAGTGTGTGTGCATCTGTTTTTCAGTTGCTTTCTTTCAATTTGTTGTTCAAAGCCTCATATATTAACGGCACCAGTCTACCTTAGAGCTACAAAGCTAATATTTATCCAATGCAAATAGTAAACGCAATTTATGAGTTTACTAGGTAGGCAAATATGAAAACGAAATTTTCATACAAGTAATGCACGTTTATTGTATAAAAACAAGTGAAAACATTATAGTCGGGCTAGACTGACTGTTAAATACCCTACACGACATTGTCTAACACAATTCTTATTTCTGTATGAAGTTACTATTATGGGTCAATTTTCATCACCACATTTTCAAATTTAGACTTTCCTGCCCTACGAAGGATCAATTGTCGTGAAATCTTGACATAGGGTTGTGGCCGAGAGGGTCCAAATTTAAAATAACTAGTTTTTTATGGTAAATTACAATTATGAAATAAATTTCATCATAAAGCATTGAAAAATGGAAAAAATTGACCACGCCTACCCAATATTACAGTGTATCAACTTTTATTCGTTAATTCATTACCTTTGTAGCGACCAGAAACAAGCTTCAAAAATCCCATATAGTATACAAATTCTTGGCCAGTTTCATACTGGCATACAGCTAAGCGTGTTCGCCTGTTTGTCTGTCCATTTGTTTGTTTGCGCAACTTCGTAGTACTTGAGGTAAACATTTCGTCGCTGGCGAGAATGAAGATATCGCCTACAAATTTGCAAAAGATTTTGGAATTGACCTAAACTTTTCAAAGGACACGCCCACAACGCTCACAGGCCTACACGATAAATACTTTTATTTGGAAAATGGAAGAAATCACCTGCGCCCACTCCGTACTATAGAGCATGATAATTTTTTCCTTTACTTCTTTTGTCTTTTTTAGCGTACCCGTGGCGCGTTTAAAAGATTCGGTTCCAACCGAATTTAACTGCCTTACTCGTTTCTCTTCTCTTTCTCTTGTGTAATTATTAAAGTATATGTGACTCTTTAAAAACAATTACTAACTGTCTGAACAGAAATCAGAGGCAGCAAACGACAAAAGGCGAAAGACGATTAGCAGAAAAAGATTAAACCATTCTCGTTCGTTTTCATGACGAGACCAAACTATCGCAGTTAATTTTATTTGCAGTTCTATCAATATTCGTTTTACAACGCCAAGTGTCCTTTTCGCTAATTTACTACGTTCCCCAGATTACAGTAATGGAACTCATAACCCAAACTACATTAAATTTAGTTTCACTACAGACGAGCTTTCCCGAAAGATGAAGTATTTCTTCCCTTCTCTTTTGTCAACTGATTGAAGATCACTTGTGCATTTACATCCTTGTACCTACAAGGCAGGACCTGTTATTCGATTTTTTTTTTTCACTTGTTTGCGCTCTCAAAGACAAGACAACTTACTTATCGATACTCGATTAAATGGAATGCGAATGCAAGCTTACGGTGAATATGCTGGAAACAAATCGAATGAAACGTCTTTCTCATTACATTAATGAATTCACTACGTAACAATTTAATTTCTCCACTCATAGGTTTATAATAAAAAGAAATTGTTTTATTAAAATCATAACGGTTACTAACTGTATGAAAAATATATAGATCGCCTTTATGATTTTAATAAAACAAATTAATTTCAAACGCGTCGCCGTCGCTTTCCGAAAGAAGGCTACTTTCTGTAAGGGAGGTATGCGAAAGTATAGATTGTCTTGATAGGGGGTCAGACTCTTTCTCTTCCACTTCCACTTCCTCAGCTACGGAGGAAGTGTGAGTAGGAGCTGTATTGTAATCAGTTGGCACTGCATTTTCTTCTGCAATCTCGGGTTGTATCGGCTCGGAGGATTGGTACTCATCGCTTGAAGCCTCTTCGCCCGCTTCCTCTTCATCGCCTTTTAACCCGCGAAGATTATCATGAGAGGATGAGGCGTAAAAAGTGGAACCTAATTCAACGTCTACAATAGATCCAACATTGCTCGTACGTGCTTTAGGTATAATTTTGCTGGATTGGCTTTGCAATTTAAATTCACTTGAGAGAACCGCTACTGATGTAGCATCTTTGGCTTCGCGTTTAAAGATTTCCATAAGCGAGGAAGGTGACCGTGGTAGGAAACCCATTCTACCGGGTCGATAAATCGAGCTACGAGAACGCACAAGACTTAAGATAGATGGAGTACGCGGATAATAATCCAAATGGCTGCTTATTATATCGACAAGTTCACTAATGAGATCTCGGCGTGTAATTTCTCGCACTGCTTCGTCTTCAGCAATCTCTCTAACAGATTGAGGTGTTTCTTTTCCTTTCTCTTCCTTTTCCTTTTCCTCTTTCCCTTTTTCACGTATAATGGATGTAGTTAAAGCTTTTTTTATGTGCTCAATTACCGCTTGCAAACGTGAAATTTCGTATTCGTGTTGCTTATGTATCGAGAGCATACGATTTTTCTCCATTTTCAGTTTTTCCAATTTTTGACCCATTGCGCGCAATTTCTTTGAAGTATCGTTAAAAGTGAAACGATCGCACACGTCACGCCGCATTATATTTTCATATAGGGACCGATATTTGACATTCTCCGTATATTTCAATTTTAATTTTTCATATCTACTCGTCAGTTTCTCAATAATGTTGATTTTATTTTGTGAACTATGAATGAGCTGGGTTTTTAATTGGCCCAAGGCTGCGTATTGTTCTGAAATTTCCTTATGCTTTGCCAATTGTTCTTTAAAGTCTCGCTGAATTTTAATTTGTGATAAGACCAAGATCTCAATCTCCTTTTGAAGAGCGATATTTTCACGTATAAGACGTCTAGTGTAACCAGCATTTCGTATCTCACTGGATCGCGTAAAATCTTCGGAGACTTGCAATAATTTTGCTTCAACTTCTTTTTTAAGAGCATCTTTTTCAACTACTGCATTTTGCTCCATACTGTAAATAGCTTCCTGATGTGAGCGTTCTTTTTCTTTAAGCTCTTGCTCAAGATCATCGAATCTGCCCATTAAATAATCGCGTTGTATACGAAATTCGTCCAAAGAATTTAATTTACCGTTAAGCAATTTGATTTCAGATGTAAGCTGATTACGTATTGCTTTGTTTTTAGCTTCCAAGTCTTTAATGTGTTCCGATGCTTCCTGTTTCTCAATGTTACGCTGCTTGCTTACCTCGGTTAGCTCTTCTTCCAATTTTATAATGATTTCTTCACGCTCGCTTAAAGTGCGTCCCAAATGCGCGGCCACATCGACGCGATCTTCTTCCATAGAACGCATTTTCCCTGTTAACTGCAAGAGCGTTTCGTCCTTGGTAGTTATATAAGAACGCAAACGCGCCAGTTTTCTATTTAAATCCGTTATTGTCAACTCATAGAAAGTCTTGTCAACCTCAGCTATTCGTTCTTTCTCTTTTTTTTTACCCTTTTTCCCCCTCTTGACCTTTTTCTCCTTTTCACCCCTTGTAGCCATTTTTGGTTTACTTGAAACTAACTAGTTGATATTAAAAAATCGCGTTCAAGTGGAAAATGTTTTCGAAAATAATAAGGACAAGTGGTTAAAATTAAAACAACGAAAAAAACAAATATTAAAAAAAAAAAAATCCACGTCGAACGAACGAAACTTTCACAACGTTAATAAAATTTTTACGGCTTCTATGGGGAGTGACAAAAAAATAAATGTTAAATTGATTTGAAGGAAAAAAGAAAACGTTAGAGCATCGCCCTTCATAACCAATTGGTGTTATTAGTGCCACGGCTGAATTGCTAAACACAGAGAAAGTGGGAAAAGAAGAACACACGCGGAAAGAAATACTTCTATTACTACAATTTCGCTTATCGCCAGATGTTCTTCAAATTGACAAATAAGAACATTATAGTCTGGCTAGGTCGAACTTTAAATACCCTACTCCACATTGCCCTGCACAATGCTTATTTATGTAGGAAATTACTATTACGAGTCAATTTTCATCACTGCTTATTAAAACTTGAATTATTAGGGTAGGACCCGAAAAATATGCCGAGAAGATCCAAATTTAATACAGTTAATCTTTTTACTACTTTTGTCGTATGAAGTTCAGTTTTCGTAAGATAAAAAGGGGTTCAAAAATTGCCCTAGTCGGCCCAAAGGGCTTATACCAATTTATGCCGCAATACTATCGCATAGTCGACCTTGTCGAAAATGGAAATATTTTCCACAGAACGACTTTTCAAAATTTGGAGCATGGTCAATTTGGTCAATTTTTTGGATATTACCACATTTAAGGATTCTCATGAAACGTAAACTCTTATATGCCAAAAACGCCTAATTATTAATTTTTTTTATTATGAAACTATTAATTTAATGTAAAAATTAAGTGCACCTAATTTGAACCACATGGGTCTATTTCTTGGCCCCGCTTCATGTCAGGCATCTTATGTGTAGTTAGCCCTGCCTTAATTTTTAATATTTTATGATGAAAATTAATTTATAGTAGAGGTTGAGCAAAACAATTAACGTTGGGGAATTTGGATCATTTAGGTCTATGTCTTTGGACTCTAAGATATACAGGCGTTATTACGAAAAGCGAGCTCTTATGTGGAGAGAAAAGCAGATTTTCCAAATATATTGACTTTCAGAGAATAATGTGACTTTACGTGAAAATAGTGTGTAATTTTTAGTGTACAACGAGCAAAAAATTGTACTGAGCGAAATGGTATAGGGTATGTCATGGTCGACATTGCCAGATTATAATGATATTACTCGTTTTATTATATTCTTACACGCACTAAGACTTATTAGACTTTTCTATTTCTTTCTATTTATAACACTTGCTCAAATATGGCAGGTGCGCTGGTCTTATTACGAATGTCAATGATTTGTTTGAAATGCAAATGTCGTACTCCATTGCGTCTTACGAAATCCATTAGAAATGCGTGATATAAGTTAAGTGAAAAGGCAAACCTGTTCCTGTCATTGTGATTTTTCTTGCTTATTCGATTCAAAACACATTTTCACAAATCTTACATAATTCAATTCCTATGGCTCAAGAGACCAATGTTGGTCTTCCTTGTTTGCAAACGGAATGTGTTCTGTCTAGACTTTCCTATGAGTAGAGTGAAAACAGCTCATAACAGCTTTAGCGACACTATCAACTTGACCACAGCAATTGTAGAATATACATACGTAACGTACAACAACATCATCATCTACAGGCAATACATCTACAAAATACATCTAGGGGCAATACACGGTAACGCGTCACGTTTAATGTGTTAGAGTACATACATTTTTAGCCTGCGGTAAGAACTGCAATACCAAAAACTACAACATCAGCATGATTAGCTCAACGCAAGAAAATTAATCAAATAATTCGAAGTTATTGGTCTTTTTCTATTAATTTTATCTTAGGGGTATCGAAGAAAATCTCTGTTCTTGTACACTTTTATATTAAACATTTTCCTACACTCTGCCGTGTGAGACAGCGAAGTAAATGTTAATGGGAATGAAAGGGATGTCAACATTCGTAGCTTAAGATAATTATTATGTTTTATTTAAAGATCTTGACCCGTAGGTGGTCTTAAAATAATAGCATGCTCTTCCTAAGCAGAGGTTAACCGTACACCTTTCATCCACTCAGCTATGCAATAGACTTTAAGATAAGGAATACACATTGTATGCTGCAAACCTTCTTAGACAACTTTTACAAGGTGCATTGAAATTGCATATAACTGTTTACATTAAGCACTTGGACTTGTTTGTTTTCATAACGAAATACGTAACGGTAATCAATTTAATAGCTTGTAAGAGAAAATTATTTTAAAATCGAAAGCTTTATTCACTTCGTTCCTTGATCTAAAGTTGAATGATTTTTAGCTTAAGCATGAATTCACACTGTCTGCAGGTTGTTAACCTGGTTGTTCGCCTGGTGAAGGTAAAAAAAAGTCGACTCTCATTATCTTATTCCTTAAACGCAAGTATTAAATAAAATTATACCTTAAAGGAAATTTTAATACTTTTTCTTATTTGCTAATGAAAAGCGTTATTTGAAAGCAAAGTACAAATAATGAATCTCGCTGAAAACTGTCCTTCTATCCATTGAAGAAAGCATATTAAATTTTGCTAAGCATTTGTAAACATATACATTAAATATGTTACAGAATCATTCTTTTCATCACAAAATATTGAATGTTGAAAATTAGACCAATAAATCTATATCCAAAAATTCGTTTTTCTTAGGGACCAGTCGAACCAAAGTTTTCATATCAATTAAGAATGTCGATACACTAGTATTTAGTGATTTTTGACGAGAAATTTTGAAAATTGCAATTTGTTTTTTTCCGACTTTTCATAGTAGAGGTTTATATGGTAAGTGGTTGAAAAAGTGAACGCACCATTTTCAATAGCATTCCTCCTTGGCCAGTGTGCCAAATTTCTTAAATATTGCGGTGTTTACATTGAACACGAAAAAACGTGAACACACATCACGTCGACAAACAGATGGACGGACGGACAAGCTTAGATCGATTCAGCAAATGATTCTAACTCGATCGATAGAATAAAAAGGGTGGATCTACCTATCCAGCTATCTATCTATCGTACGCCCGCACATGCTTAATATACTCGCTGGATATACAAGTGGTGTAGGTTGAAATTGTAAACTTGGTTGAAAAACACGTCTCTCCTGTCATTGAAAAATTCATTGCTCATTTTATGGAATAGCAGGGGAATAAGGTACAGCGCTTCTTCATTGTCAGCAGTGTTTTTTTAAATTTAGAAAAATATTATTAAGAAGAAATACAGATAAGATAATTTTCAAGTTTTAATGGCTCAGTTCCCGTTAAAGATGTTTGGATGGTAGAAATTATTCCGCTCTTATTCAGTCACCAGGCGAGAGTAGAGAACGTAGACATAGAAATATCACGAATACGAAGCGACAGGAAAACAAAAGTTTTGCATTAAAGATAACGTTTGGTCAAAGAATTAAAAGCAAACAATATTTATCTGTTAATTGATTTATTTGTTTATTTATTTATCTATCTGTTTATCTACTTTTTCTTTTTTTTTTTTTTTGTTTTAGGTAAGACCTTCTACAATTCCAGCTACATACATTTTAAATAAAAGAAACCTACTAAATAATCGTAATTGTCGTACATGAGCGTATTAAACATATTATAAACTTTTCTTCAGCTATGTACAAGCTTTTAGCAATACATGAGATTCGTTAAATATCTTTGATCGGCATTTCAGGAGATGAAACAAAAACGTTGCTCTAATTCCAGGAAAATCAGCCTATGCCTTTTATATTTTATATACCCTACCTATAGAATTGTCGGGCATTAAATTTGTGCGGATGTAAGGTGAGCTTACGTTTCATTATACCGATCGCTAAGCTTATTTATCTGTCTGTCCGTCTGTCCGACCGATATCTGTTCTTATGTTTTTGCGTCGTAAATTTTTTAGACATATTGATGCAATCGAATACACCGATATATTTCGTCCCAAAGATGGACCTATTGAAAATGGTTCGAATCGGAATATTTTTTCGGCCATCGCATGCAACACCTTTTTGAAAAATCGTTATATGAATAATTGTAGGGTGATGTAAAATATATAATGATGGATCGTCGCCCACTGTAGTGTTTTTACTTGTTTGCTTGCTGACATCTGTGTCTTACTTGTAGGCTAAAAAGTTTCCATTCAGTTCAGCAAAACCGTATTGTGGTTGCATCTCTTTGCAAGCTTCTGCACATGAATTACCCAGCTATTCCCATTGAACTGTGCTTCTTATTTCTCATCGTATCTTGTTTATGTCCTCGCAAAAAAACTGGAAGTGACTTAAACTTTTCCAGCTGCGCCCACTCCATATTACAAAACATGAAAATTTAGTTCTTTTACTTTTTCGATTCTTTTAGGATAGCGGGGAAGGGTATAAAAGATTCGGCCACAATCAAATATAATTTTTTTACTTCTTTCTTTTTTCAATCGTTACAGGATAACGATGACTCGGTGGCACTTGTTTTCTCTCATATGGATTCCCAATCGTTATACATTTTTTTATTATGTGGTCAGGTTTCGTCACATTTCTCCATTTATCTTGAATGTTCCCTGCTGACAGCAAGGTTTAACGCGATTTTAACGCTCATTAAATGTGGATGCTTGCGGTTTTGTGTTAATTGAAATGGAAAATTTTCATCAAAATACATTTTCTTGAAAAATTAACATAACAAACATCTCTTCAAAGTTTTTAAATGTAATTAAAACCTTAACTCATTTGATGTAACGATAGGATAGCAATACAGAAACTTAATCATATAACACTGAATTGGGTATATTCATTGCAAATTTTATTTGGGGTGAATTTAAATAATGCTTCAGAAGGTCGTGTGCATACAAACGCAAACACGCACCTGTTCTAAATGATTTTGTGAAGATCTGCTTGTTGGTAAACGAGGCATAATTGTGTTATGATCGGCAGGTGGTCCAGCAATTTG